TTCTTCAAAAAAATCACGAGATGCACAATAGGCCCCGTCCCTCGCTCTCAGGGAATAAGAGCATAATTGTTAGCTCGAGGTGACAGTTATAGTCATACAAAACACATGAAAAGGAACAGATTGGAGTTCAAGACCCTTGCCCTCAAGGTGGACCGAAATCAAGAGCTCGGGCAAGAACTACAAGATTATAAGTTTGGCTTCCAACAAGAGTGACTTACCCTAATAATCTTTCTGAATTGAGCCAAGTAGTCGACTGTTAACTATAAACAATCTAAGTTGATTTATTCACGAGGGTAAATGTAATCTGATATGATGATTCCAATGGATGGATGTAACGCTGAAGCGATCACTAAAACACAAAACACTCTCTGTTGGTTTGTGATAATGAAACGATGAAAACTCCCCACGACTTGTCTCTTCTTTCTGGTGTCACCGTAGGGTGATAGGGGTCACTGTTCGGTTTGAAAAGCCTTCAGTTATGTTTTTTGTCTTCTTTTTGCGTTGGTTGGTGTGGGCGGTGGCCGGTGGTGGACGAGGGGGGGATACCCATACATACATACATACAATTCCCACCATTACATCAAATCTTCATTCCTTTACTCTTTCGCCAAATTAAAGGCGAATGAAAACTGAAAAGACACAACTCTCTTTACTCTTTATATCACCAACCATCTTCTAATCTACGGTGGTCCACCACCAGACCAGGCTTTTCCGGTGGTGGAGGATCGGATGTTCCGATCAACACCGACATTTTGCAACCTCAAATGCCCGACAAGACGGATCCAGAATCTGGGTTTCTTTCATTATCCATACGACTTAACCGCAATGAGGAAAGGGCCGAGGGTGTTTTAGGCTTTTCGTTCTTGTATTCCGACATCACCACATGGGGTTTTCCTTCTAGCAACTAGCCAGCCGCCATTAGCATCATTCCTCGTTGTCGGACGGCCGGGGACCACCGACCACGGCCATGGCCACCGCCGCCGCCGCCGCACCACAATTATCCTGTTTCCTGGTGCACCAGATTCCTGTATCTTTGGGTGAGCCTCACCTTCTTTAAACCTTTTATCACCCACCATAAAAAAAAAAAAAAAAAAAAAAAAAAAAAAAAAAAACCAAAATTTTGTTCCTTCGTATATTCCAATGTACAAACCCTAAAAACTTCGAGAAAACAGATTTGCAGTTCTTGTGCAAGGAGGCATGCATGTCATACAAACCAAAGAATAAAATTTTTCATCTGTCAGCATTGAAGACGATGAGGTCAACGTCACCACCTCAGTTAAGTATTTCAAATATATATTTTATTAATTTATTCCATCGATAATTTTCAACTATTTTAATCATCTTATAATTAAATTTTTTAAAAAAAAATCATTGACCGTACGAAACATTAAAAACTGGCACCACTATAGACAAAAAGTGGCAAAAATAATAATTCATGTTAGATTGTATAGTAATTAACAGCGTACAAAGTAATAATATACAAAACCACTTGGTACTAATTGATTGGCAATAGATAAGGGCAGGTACGATGACTGAAGAAAATTTATTTTTTAAAAAAATTCTTAACTATTTTAATCAGTAGGATGTTGTAGGCCTCGCTAGGGTGAACAGTGTTCTAATGTATTTAATGAATATTCATCTAATAAAAATATATTTAATTAACTAAAAAAAAACTGATGCAATTTGAAAAGTAAAAAAAAAAAATGCACTGATATTTTAATAAGTATTTCATTTTTACTTTAAAAAGTATAAGTTGTAACTATATAGAGTGCAGAATAAACTTAACCCAAATAACTAAAAGGCAAAACATTAAATCAAACAAGAAAATTAAACCATAAACCATCAAAGATTAATCCTAATTGCACTACGGTGTAATATCACAATGTACACCATATGATAAAGTGTAAAAAACTAATAAAATGTCACCATAATTTTTTTCTGTTGGTATAAAACTATTTGAACTACCCAAATAAATCATTAATATTATTAGTAATTAATTTCCTCCTAAAAAAAACAAATTCTCTTTGTACATTCGCACATCATTATTATGAATGGAAATCAAAACATTTTTAAAATACACCACATTTTTCAAGAAATTTAATTTAAATTTGTAATTGGGAAACAAACTTTTCTCCCATCCCACAAAAAAACATCATTCCCAAAAAACATTATATTACCGCACAGAAATAAGATTGTCTTTGAAAAGAGAAAGAAAAAGAGGGAGAAGTTTTGAAGCTCGAGGAAATGTTGCAATGCAAGTGGAGAGTGGAGGAGACAAAGAGGTGGTGGCATCAGAATAACAGATTCTATCATCATTAACGTTTCTGAGGTAAAGTTAGATCGGAATAGTGCTTTGCATTGGAAATGTCAAATACATATCCACTTTTCTATTCATATTCAATTATACGCATTCCATATTATATACCAACAACTTGTTGTATTAATATTAATTAAAAACTTATGTTAGTTTTAACCTAATTAAGATTAATTTTGCAGCTTTTAATAGGTTTCTGTACTAAGTTTGATTAGTTAATGAAACCTCAAATGTCTCAAGTCTTAACCTCCATTACATATATCTGAAACCTTAAAACCAATGGCAAAACACAGCCCCAAAAAAAAAGACATTTCTGTTACTCCAACGGTCCAACATGAAATGTTGCAAATAATATGAAAACGAAACACAAACCTTACATTACAAAACAGCATTATACTTTAACATCACATCAGCTCTTTTCAACTTCTCAAATCACTCAAATGTCACCAATGCCACATGATAGGAATCATATAATAAAAAAAAATTATAAAAGCAACAAAAGAGTTAATATTTTAATATATTTTATTTACTTTAACATAAACCTTTCATCAAAATGCATGCAAATCAAAAGAGAATTCAACGAAATGTAATGTACAAAGCCCCAAACAACAAGTAGTAGCAAGTGCAAGAAAGATTATTACACAATGCTCAATTAACCTAATACATACCCTCGGGTGATGAGACAGATTTCTCTCGTCACTCAAAAAGAAAAAAAAAATATATATATATATATCCTTTTTTAGCAATAGCCAGTAAATTCCATCCAATAGTGATGGTAGGTTTCAAATTATATGACAAATATCACATTAAATTATATATAAAACTGTGATAACTTATAATCAACAAATAACCTATCAAAAATTATGAGTGAAAAATAGAATGCACTAATTATATATATATATATATATATATACACACACACTCATGTTGACATGCAAGTTTTGAAATATTGAATTGTTTTTTGACCAAGTGCCTAAGTGGAGTATAAAACAGCATTTAAGGTTATTCCATACTTATATTAAATATTAAAGACACTAATGAATGCCACAAAATTAAAGTTAATGCTGCACCCGTGCCTATGGTTGTCACAGTATATATACTTCTATTGCTAGCATTATTCCCTGACCATTTATAACCATGTAACTACAACCAACCATCCATCTCCATTATCATGCCACATAATAATAATAATACTAATAATAATAATACTTTTTATTTATAGTTTGAATTAAAGATGCCAACATAATAGCAATATAATGAATAAGGTTTGCCAGCTGCTACATTTTGAAAAGCCATATTTCAAAATTCAAAGCATTGCATGTTCATGAAGAAGATGAAACTATGAAGACTCTCACAAACTCCATGTTGTAAAACCACATTATTATACACTGAAACCAAACACAAACAACATAGATTATTATACACTGAAACCAAACACAAACAACATAGATTAAACGGAGTACATGTTTTAGTGCACTAAGCTTCAGTCTTCTATCATACCTTTCTATTTTGTTCCGAAATTTTCTTAACATGTCATTCCAGTTTTCACGTTTTTGAACAGAAACCAACACAACTGATAAAGCATGGGTACTACATTAATCATGACATTCAAAGATTTGAGCAAACTCAAGTTATAATCTTGCTAATGACCCTCCATATATCGTTCATATCTTGCATTATCAGTGCCCATATCTTTCTAGCTATTCCCGCTATAAATAGAGTAAGAAACACAATGTTATTCCATCTTAAATGTACCATCTACTTTCCATGTATGGTCTCAAGCAAGTACACATATTAGTCAACCACCTATTAACACTTCATCAAACTTGTCATCCATATATTTAAGAAGTTGCCTTGTAACCAAATCGTAGAAAAAGAACCCAAAATCAAATACTTCACACCATAACTGCTCTAACTAACTGATGTAAATGCACATATATATAATTGAAACACAAAGTTAGAAAACAAAGGAAAATACATAAATGATCTTGCAATTAATTCAACAAGAGTGGAGTTATTTGTTCGAAAAAGGGGAAAGAAAAAAGTCCTAGTGTTTATCAAACCCCTATCTTGTAACGAGAAAATGGATCTATGTTTAAAAAGAAACAATTAAACAATGCCCAACTCCCTCCAAAGGTCTAAGAAACTGGGCAAGAAACCGGAAGTTCCAATGTGGTTGTAGGAAAAAATGGTTAAGTTTTCTTGCTTTGGCAACATCTTCCATGCATATATGTGCATTTTGTCCCATCTTTATGCAGAGAAATCTCAAAAAAAAAAAAAACAAAAACAAAAAAAATGGAGTACCAGAGAGTAACATGTAGATGGTCAGATATCTTGCAACTGGAGAAAGAATATTTCAGAATTTGTTTTTCAAACAGTTACTATAATTGTGCATTCTTTCCACTGGATAACTGATATCATCCTGGTTTATCAGCAGGATCTAAGACACCAGATTCTAACATCTTACTGCACATTAATATTGCTTAATTCACCTGACACTGCATTAAATCAAGCTTAAACCAACAAAGAGCACTATATATGTTCAAGATATTAAATCTTTTAAAAAAAAACTATTTCAAATGACAATTTTCATGCAAGAATGGACACACACATCCAAACAGATCAGAAATGCTGAGAAAGGTCATAAAATAAAATAAAAATTTGAATCAGTACACATAAAATGAGATATGGAAGGAAGAAAATATTGCTTTTTATTGATAATGGTGGTGAGAAACACATATAGCACAAGCAAAAACTGGGCCAAAATTTTGGGTAAGAAGACATGTTTTATAATATATATTTCAGAGAAATGTGAAGTAAAAACCAGACATCATGCCCTCATTTCTTTTTGCTTGTGGATGATCCTACAAATACTAAATTATATATGTTTTGTGGGTAGAGCTTTCTGAGGTTGTCTGCCTCAAACTGAATAATAATAATAGTGACTGCTAATATAACAACAACAGTGTAAAGGAGTCAAAAGTCAAATGTAGTCTGTGGAGAAGCTCAAGATCTTGGGGGTGGGAAGAATTGCGTACCAGCCATGAAAGTGCTGAGCGGGGCGGGGTATAGGGAAGGGTCGAAGAACGCCTGGCCCTGGCCGCCGCCGCCTTCGGCGGCGGTGCCACCGCTGGCGCTGGTTGTGGCGGCGGACGTGGCTGTAGTGGCGGCTGCACCCGATGACAGAAGGTTGTGTTGCGTCTGGACTCCCGCGCTGCCGCTCCCGCCGCCGGACGAGCTCTCCCCCGCCGTCATGTACTGGCTCTCGGGCCCTTCGTCGTATAGAATTCCTTTGAAGACGTGGCCGCCGATGTTCACGGCGGTCTGGTACGCGTACTGGTCTTCCGAGTCGTCCACGGACCTCATCCGAACGCATTGGAACGCCGCATTTAGGCTCACTTTCGCCGGAAAGTTCCCCATTTCTAACCCTATTCACAAAAAATAGAAACAACATAAACTAAAGAAGAAGAGATAACAATAGGTACTAAAAGAGAATATAAATTATATTATGCAGCCATGTGATTTGCATCAAAGATGTCAGAACTATCCCCAAAAGAAGCGAAGAAGAAGAAGAGAAGGAAATGCACACTTCAATTTTGGTAAACTGAAAGGGGTTTGTTTCATTCCTTTTGTTTCTGAATTTTTAATGAAATTGCGCCACCACAGAAGAACAACAATAGTGGTAATGATGGGAAGAGTGCAAAGACGGTGATGGTGAGAGAGAATTGAAGAGAATAGATAGGGTACCGGAAATGGTGGAAGGGAGACGATGAGAGCAAAGTAAAGAGGAAGAAGTGGGGGGATTATCGTCGTCTCTCTGCCTTTTGGGGGTTTCTCTGCTGTGAAGCTGCAGCGATTGTTGTTGTTCTTGTTGTTGGTTCAAGGCGGAGAGGTGGTGCTGGCGTTCCCGGCGTTTGGACGCCGGAACCCAAGTGCTCTTGACGTGGGTTTGGCACTGAAACCCCCGGCTTCTGCAGCAAGTCCTACACCTCATGTGGGAGCAGTCTTTCTTGGCTTGGTTGCCGCAGTCTTGGCAGCTAATCCCGGCTGCACCGGTACCCGCGGCGGCGCTGCGCATCATCACAAACGCCGCCGATCTCAAGGGCTCGTCCGCGGCGGCGGGGGAGGAGGGGGACATGTGGGGGTTTCGGCTGCTGGGACCCACGCCTAAACCGACGGCAGACGACGGGTAAAGCTCCTGGAGGGAATTGAGGTGGGGATGGGGCTGATGTTCTTGCCATAGCTCGAACCCCTTATACGCCGCCGGTATTTCCTGATCATTTCTGTAAAGAAACCAACTTTCCGGGCTGATTTCGGTGGCGGCGGCGTTGCTGCTATTCTGCTGGTGGTGGTGGTGGTGGGGGTGGTGGGGGGTATTTCCTCCTCCTCCTCCTCCTCCTCCGCCTCGTCCACCGCTTCCTCCACCTAGTGAAAAGAAGCCAGCCATTTAGTTGCCGCTTTTAACCCTTTTCCAGAATCCAATTGGGACTGACAATCCATAGCAGTGATTATGACCCGAGAATGATAAGGCAGGCCGATAACCCCCTCCGCTAATAATCTTGATTTCGTCGTTGTTGTAGGGTTGGAAGAAGCGTCAGAAAACAAAACATCCTCAGACTCTCTCTCTATATCTCTCACCTTTGAAATAAAAATCCTCCTATATACGGAGTATTTTTTTTAATGCTGTTAAAAATCCAAGATCAGTACTGTTTATGTTGTTTGTACTATATGGGCTGGTCACAATTATGGAAGGGATGAAATTTGCAGGCTTTAGTTAAAAAAAAAAAAATGAAAAATTCTTGGACAGACAAAGCGATCAGGAAAGACTTTTTGGAGAGAGAGAAAAGAGTGATTAATGAGAAAGGAAAGCAGAAGTGAGAGAAGAAGAGAAGAGGGTATGGCTATATTTTCTTTCTTGTGATCTAGAGAATAGAGAGGAGAGCATTAAAGAGGTAGTAGAAGTAGTAGTATAGAATTACAGCTCTGCAACTGCAACGCCGCCATGGCCAAAAAGCAGCAGACTTGCAGACACTCTCTCTCTCTCTCTCTCTCTTCTCTCTCTAGTTTGTTTTGTTTCTCTGCGCTCACTGCTCTCTCTGCAACACACACCCAATTTAAGTCTTTACAACTCACAGGCTTCCGGCTCGACCTTCCATTCCCCTCTCTCTCTCTCTCTCTCTCTCTCGCTCTGTGATTGTTTCTGAGTGAACACTTTTTACCTTACAATCCTCTGGATTTTACCGTATATGTATCATCGTAATAAATTAAAGTTACGGGCATTAACTTGATGCTTAATTACTTGATTGTTTATTTTTAGAATGTGGTGGGCTCTTTTTTTTTCTTTTTGTAATGATATTTAATTGTACAAAACTACAAATACATGTATGGTTGATGGTTGTATTTGATGGGTTAGATATTAACGATTTGGTGTTTTATTTCAATTTAAGTGATATGTCTCAAGTTTATTTTGATACGTAATTTCAAGACATGTTATTAGCCTATTCTTAAAAGTTATAGTCTGAATAATTTAGTCCGAAATTTTTTTTACATATAATCAATTTGTGACTAAAATGCACGAATTAAGAGATCCACATTTTAGAGAATAAGAAAATATACATAATTGTACTAGGTATTGACTTATTGTTAGTAATAGTTTCTAATCGTATTTAATGGTGTTGGTATGTATGATGGTGTCAGGCGTCGACTGTTGATCAACATTATAAATTTTTTTAGTAATTATATTCTAATTTGCTTTTACAATTTTATGCTAAGTTGACATTAATATATAATAAAGTATGTTCCAACACAATAAAAGTGTATAATATATGTACAAGAAATGTCATGCTTCTTAAATAAAAAGTAGCACTTATAAACTTTTACTAGTTGAATAATTGGTAGAATATGTATAACTTTGTATTTTTAAAATATGGCAATTGGTGTGTGCGATGTTGTACTCCGTAATGGAACATATTGTAAATCTCTTTTATCATTTTTTTTTGCGAATTGTGTGACTATAGTGCTCAATTATATTCACATTTTACTTTTTAATAGGAAATTATACAAATAGTATAACTCAATAATGAATAAAATATTATTGACGTAAAATATTAATATTAAGATATTTAATGAACATGTTTTTGTTTATTTCAATTCTTTATTTTTTATTTATCATTTTTTTATTTGTACATTTACTTTATTTTATATTATAATTTAAAAATTATTTACAAACATTCATTTTATTTGTTTTTTTATTTCTACAAAAAATATATATATGTATTCAATTAGCAAAAGCATGTAATAATCCTAAAAAGTTATCTACAATGCCTCAAAAGAATGGCGAATTAGTGGAACATGATTATCGTAACAAAAGTTCATGAATTTGATTTTTTTATAATACACTCTTAATTGAACTCCTTACATATAATCTTTTTAACGCGCTTTACCTCTCATGTGTGGTAAGTGGCTACGAATAAACTTGAAATTGTCACACATAAACAATGAACATGCCTATCATTGGTTTCCATTGACTCCAAAATTAAATTATTAAGATATTAATTGCTGTATATTACACTATATTCGAACAAATGATCACTTTGAAATTTGGATCTATAGTATCTTTACATTTAAATTAAGAAAAAACGTTCAAATTAGTCATTGAATTGAACAATAAAATGTAATCAAACCATTGAACTCCAATTAAATCCCTTAAATAGTAGTTTATCTACGAATTTTTTTCGTTGATAAATTTAATTTTTCATATAGTCTGAATTGTAATTGTCCCGGCCATGATATAGCATCTAACTTCCTTGGAAAAATGCTATTTGAGGCAAGAATAAATGGCAGGCACGAGATTAGGTGCCCCTCTTGACAAAGTGGAACATATTGTTTGTGAAGATGGTATAGATTTTCCGAGGTCAATGAGAACCCTTGTGAGACAAAGCTAGGTGATTGTGTTGATTTTAAGTGTTCTTATCTAGATTTTAACGGTAAATATTCACAATTGAATATTAACAATAGTAACACTAAATAAAATTTTAAATAATGAATGAATTATGCATTACAATTTGGAAATTGGGAGCAAAGAAAAGGGAGATCCATAGTTAAACTCCCAATCTCAAAGCTCCATACATTCCGCTCCGACAGACTCAATGACTCAACAGACAAGGCCAAATGTCAGTGCACATAAGGAATCTGCTCACTTTGAATATAATCTCACACTGTTGTTGCTGAAGTTCGAATCCTAACCTCTTTTTTCAAAATACTATCTACTGAATTAATGAGTTAAGCTGTAAATATAATCCCACACTATTGTTATTGAAGTTCAAACTCTAACCTCTTTTCTCAAAATATTATTTACTAAATCAGCGAGTTAAGCTTCTGGAGCAAAGAGAGATCCATTGTGATGGAGAGAATCTATGTAAGATGGTGTGAATTTAGGTTTGCCACGTCGGGGGTTTTCTGCTTTTGCTTTCTTGTCCTTGCTTCACAAAACCTGCTGCTTTATGTCCAATTGTCCATATCCCATTTAATTAACAATTATTTTATTTCTTTTTAATTATTCTACTTAATTAATTAATAACATGCACCAATTATCCAGCAACGCAATCCAATCTAGACTTTTTAATCTGCACTCACATGCCATAAAATATTAAAATCTTCTCGCTCTCTCTTTTTTTTTTTTTTTTTTTTTTTTTTTGGTTTATTCATTGCTTCACCACCAAATATTCCTCTAACAAAGTAATGATGCATTTTTTTTATCATGAGATATCGTGAATCTTTATTAATTTAATTATAATTTTTTGTTTAAGTCATGAGAAAATTTAATTATAGACTTTTTTTTTTTAAGTTATGAGAATGTAATTATGTTAAAAATTTATGATAGAATGATTTGTCATTTGTCACATTTTGAGATCTTACCATGCACCAACAGAATTAGTCTTGTTAGGTAGGAATCTTAGTGTAATCTGGCGGGAGAAACTTGTCGTCATACCCATAATAATAATAATAATAATAATAATAATAATAATAATAATAATAATAATAATAATAATTAATGTTGAGTTTTTTTTTTTTTGTATGACCACATTATTGTTGACACATTAACTAGAACTATACAATAAAATTAATTTTGTCCATGTTAGGTATGATGCATGATGTGAACTTAATTGTACATATTTCTCTTGTTAGTTTGAATCTATTTGTGGATTTAAGTTTATTAAATTGATACTTTCAATGCATATATTCCCTTACTTTCTCAAGAAGATATGATTTTACACTTGATTTGAATGTTTTACGGTGATATTTGTTAGTGTTTTGAAATCATTGTAGATCGAGTGCAAAAGCTTGGGAAGGTTTAAGACAAGTTTGGAGCCAAAATGGAGTTGGAACGCTGAAATAGAAGTTTGGACGCGTTGAGAATCGAACTCGACGCGTCCAATAATTCCAGTAGCCGAGCCTTCGAAGTCACAAAAGACTTGGCGCGTCGAGAACGTGTCGAGAAATTTCAGTAGCGGTCCGAAGGTTCCAGCCGAAGAGTCCGAAATATGACACCAAACTCGACGCGTCGAGACGTCGACTTGGCTGGGCAAGAAATTTGGAAAGTTTGTGCATAAATTTTTTGTTTTTTCTCGCTTGACTCTCGCTATAAAAGCTCGCCTTCCTCAAACCCTAAAAACTGATGATGCGTTTTGGAGACAAGAAAAGAGGAGATAATCATACCTAGAGCTACAAGTCATATCGGAAGAAGAAGAAAGGGTAGGAAGATTCAGGAGAATTTCTTTACCTTTCCTTTTACTTTCATTGTTGCTTGTAAACTCCTTTATATTATTGCTATGAATATTTTAGCCATGCTTGGCTAAATTCCCTTATGGCATGTTTGGTTCATGGAAGATGTTTTCCTTGAATTTGAGGAAAATTAAATTTTCCTTTATTTGGTTCATGGAAAACATTTTCCTCAAAAATAGGAAAAGCATTTTCCATGGTCCCCCCTTGGTATTTTGTTTTCCATGAAAAACAAGTAGGGCAATTATGCCCTCACCAACTTTTCTTAATTATCATTATTATTATTATTGTTGTTGTTATTATTATTATGCAGGGGTATAATTATCTTTATACTCATTATTCCTTACAATTCTAAACTCAACCAAACAATGGACACGATATTCCCAGTAATTTGTTTTCCACCAACCAAACAATGTAATTAATCTTCCCAATAATTTATTTTCCATGAAATTGAAATTCCATTTCCCCTCAAATATTTTTCGCGAACCAAACGGGGCCTTAGAGATTCTTGGGTAAAAGTCTTTATGAACCTATGTGCCTAGTTCTCAGATTCTTTAATAATATTTATATTTGGGGTTTTTTTTTAAGACATTATATTTAGGTTTTATAACTTGTGTTGCAATTGTGTTCTAGTTTGTTGATGCTTGTAATTAGTAGCCATAGTTACTCGTTTCATAACTATCTTTATGTCTTAACGGGAGTTAGGGTAATTAAGAGCACCCACGATTGCACTTAACTATTGCACCTTAGGAGATGATACATTTGTTTAGGAATTAATTCTTGATTATTACACATCGGGAGATGGTATTAGTTGAGGATTTATTATGAATGCTTGTTCTTACATTGTTGGGTGTTTATATCACGTGAGTGAATATTCACTTTTATTATTTAGGTTAGAGATTACGAGAGTAACTCTTTCCCCTGTTTGCATTCTCACACTTGTTTAAACATATATTCAATACTGAACTCTAGATTGGCACTAGGTGATTAAATACTTGAATCCTAAGAATCTTATTCTTCCTCTATTGTTTTCACAAACGTGCTACTTTGCTATTTTAATTAGTTTTATAATTAATCAACCATCAATGATTTTTGTTAGAATTAACTTCACAAGAATAAATTAGTAGCTAGTGTTTGATACACCCCGTTTCCCTGTGGATTGATAACCCGATACTCCGAGTAATTATGTATTTGAAAATATACTACAACCAATGCATGTCACGGGTGACAAAACACATACTGATTCATGAGTTTTAAAGTAATTATATTTTCGTAACTTGAACTGAGGGATCTAATTAAGTTGAAAAAGATCCGCTCAAAATATTCTACTAACAAAGTAAGGTTGCATTATTTGACTTAACATCAAACTTTTAGGGGAAAAAAGCATAATTTTAAAGATAGAATCTTTAAGGGTTGTTAAGCTAAGATAAGAAAATTACATCACAAAACGTAACGATTGCAACGATCTTCAGAATTGGTTTGCCATAAATTTTCATAGAATAAATTTGTTATACTTAGTACAAATATGGAATAGTTGCACACAAAATACGTCTTTAAAACACTTTGCAACAATTTATACACATTGACAACATAAAGTGCACTAATGAACACACATTCATATATCAACAGTAACCATTTTTCCTAAATCAAAAGAAGTATATCAATAAACCATACATACTACAAGATGTAAACATAACTTAAATGTAACTTTTCTATAGCATTATGGTCTCGTCATTGTTGTTTAAATATGTATATAAAACTCAAAATTGAATTTAAGTTATTGCTAGATATGCATAATTTCTATTTCTTTTTAGTTAAAAATTTATATGGATAAGAATTTTGACAAACTAAGATGGGAGTGAGAAAATTGTTAAATTCAATTCCCTGCATTGGGAAAAGCAGTACTCCGCCCCACCTCATATATACACTTGTTAATTTTGAATGTTATGAAAATGTGGTATATTGAATCTAGCAATGAAAAACCTTTCATACTTAGCTTGTATAATCTCCCATGAAGGTGGGGATGAGACGGATTTTTCATTTATTGGTGAGGACGAAGAAATGAGGAATGTGGAGTGGAATTTGTATGGGATTTTCACAAAATTCAAAATAAAAATTCCCAAAAGAATGGAGTGTATTAAAAGAATTTAAAACTAAATTTTATTTGTTTTATTCTCATAATTGACAATTTAATCAAATACGTCCATTTCACGGTGCACACAACTCCAATATTTTTGGATGGCCAATTCTTTGATTTGATCTGCAATTCCTTTTCCAACTGCACGCGAGAAAAAACATTTATGTTATATATAATTCAAACTCTTTAAAAGTTGAATTGTGTATATGTTAGTGCAAATTTACACTCATTTTAATTTGAGATAAATGATACTTACAAGTTTTCTTAACTTTATCTTTTTCTTCAATCCAAATTAATACGTTTTTAGAATCAATTTTTTATTCACATATGATTCATTTTGAACATATAATACAATAAAATCAGAAATTAGATACTCCACGGTCCAAATTAAAATAAGAGTAAATACCTAAAATGATCCCTCGACTATAGCTAAATTCACAAATTGGTCCTCAACTTTCAATTTCAACCAATTAAGTCCTTAACTTTGCAATTTTAACACGATTTGGTCCTCCATCTATTTGACTGTTTGTTGTCTGTGATCTTTAAGGATATATATGTAATTTCACATGCAAAGCTCAAGAGAATTTCGGAGGGGGAAGTGCTTATCCGCTTGCTGCTTGGGGATCACGAGCCGATTCAGCTTGCCTACGTCGCTTGGAGTCACGGCTTTCTCGAAGAGCCGCTCCAGGGACTTCGTCGATCTATCTATCAAAAGCTATAATCTTTCCGACATGGGGTGCAGCTCCGGCCTGATCTCGATTGATCTCGCATGTGATCTCCTGACCTCCTGTACGTGCACCCCAACTCTAACGCCCTGGTGGTTAGCACGGAGATGATTACGCCCAACTATTACCAAAGGCGACCGGATTTGGTAGACTGCTTTCGGCAGTGGATTCAAATGTAACAGTGCAATCTGGAAATGCAACCGGAACCTTAAAAAATCGACGGTGGACCGTGAAATTACATATATACTTCAAAAATCACAGTCAACAAACGGTCAAATAGACGGAGGACCAAATCGTGTTAAAATTGCAAAGTTAAGGACTTAATTGGTTGAAATTGAAAGTCAAGGACCAATTTGTGAATTTAGCTATAGTCGAGGGACCATTTTGGGTATTTACTCTTAAAATAAAATGTGTAAGTCAAATAGGGAATCAATAATGTGGGTTAAACAGTAGCACATATTAGTATTCTTCTTTTTCCCTATATTCTAGGGAGGGTAACACTTTCAACATTTCATTATTGTAGCCTTCATTATTAGTGTCTTGAGGGGACCATTTATTTGTGTATTATATCAATCTTATAATTATTTAACAAACACTCTATTATCAAAGTCTAACCAAAATCTTTGTTGCATGTGTCTTCCGGTGATGTACAAATTACACTCATTCGCGTAACTACGAGGATGATGCATCCCACATTATTATTATTATTATTATTATTATTATTATTATTATTATTATTATTATTATTATTATTATTATTATTATTATTATTATTGTTATTGTTATTGTTATTGTTATTGTTATTGTTGTTGTTGTTGTTGTTGTTGTTATTGTTGTTGTCGTTGTTGTTGTTATTGTTATTAGCCGTAATTTAATTACATACAAAATTTAATTAAATAAAATTACATAATCATATAATGCAAAAATTAAAAACAAATGACGTCGCCGCGATTGAATGGAGCACAACTCTTGTTTAAGCTCATCGCATATGCTTTTTTCTATTGGTCTGAATGCTATTATATGAGAATGGATGGGGTTAATCA